TAACCACTGCGCCACCTCGGCTCTTCAATTATCTAAGGAAAGTGCCATTATCTATGTTCTCCTTACTTCTTGGTGACTTTCAATATCATTAATCATGGTATCATTTTGGACCAGCTGTGGAATTTGGGACTGGGTAGTTCCTTTCCTTTCTCCTTAGCTGGTTCTAATCGGTGTTAACAGGAGGCAATAGTAATAGCAATAGCAGTTAGACTTATATACCGCTTCATAGGGCTTTCAGCCCTCTCTAAGCGGTTTACAGAGTCAGCATATCGCCCCCACAGTCTGGGTCCTCATTTTACCCACCTCGGAAGGATGGAAGGCTGAGTCAACCATGAGCCGGTGAGATTTGAACAGCCAAACTGCAGCTAACAGTCAGCTGAAGTGGCCTGCAGTACTGCACCCTAACCACTGCGCCACCTCGGCTCTTGTAAGAGACAGGCTCCTATAAGGCCATAACTTGAGGACTACCTAGACAATAATCATTTGGCTTTTGAAGCTGCCTGCGTCTCTCTAGCAAAAGAACACCAACAATTAAAAACAAACAAACAAGTGTGAAGTCAAAATTTTTCCACTTGTGAGTTCACACAGGAGGCTAGATCATAGGATGGCAGGCGTGGCTAAGCTTAGCATTTATTTGAGCCATGCCAAATGTGGGTCTGTTCAAGAAACCAAGATAAAACGAAGAAGTGTTTGGTATTTGTTATGTGTAAACCGAGCTGCAGGGGTCAAAAAAATTGCACCGTTCACTTTTGCTGGTTCAGAATCTCTTGTGGAGATGAGAAACAAAAATAAGATTACCTGATCAAGAATAAAATTTCTCTTTGTCCGGGGTGCGATCTGGACCAGTTTGCTCACGCAACGGGCAGCTTGCTGGAGCAGCGAATCGCGAGCTTCGATAGGCAGCGGCTCTTCAACCACGGGGCCTTTTGTCTGGCAAGGAAGGAAATTGGGGAGGGGGGGGAGAGCAGAAAGATTAAAGGAGGGAGAAACCCCCCCACATTTGAGAAAAGGTCAGGGGGATGGGTCAAATCAGCAGTTCCTGCTCAAAATTTTGGATGTTACGTATCACCAGATTGGACTGGGTTTATTTGATGAAGTCAGAAGGATGAGAGGCCTATGGGACATCTCCTGTCAGTCCCAAAGAATGACATGCAGAGTTAACCGTAATTTCCTTAATTGCTCTTCATCCTCGACTTACAACAGTTTATTTAGTGACCGATCAAAGTTACGGCACTGAAAAAAGTGACTTTTTTCCCCCGACCCCCTGCAGCATCCTCATGGTCACATAGATCAAAATCCAGATGCTCGGCAACTGGTTCATATTTATGACGGATGCAGTGTTAACGGGGGGGGNAGAGTCAGCATATCGCCCCCACAGTCTGGGTCCTCATTTCACCCACCTCGGAAGGATGGAAGGCTGAGTCAACCTTGAGCCAGTGAGATTAGAACCGCTGAACTGCAGCTAACAATTAGCTGGAGTGGCCTGCAGTACTGCACCCTAACCACTGCGCCACCTCGGCTATTGCCCGTACTGTTTGCTGCAAGGAAGCAAATTGCTGGGAGGCAGAGGCAGATATTTTTCCCTTGTTTTCCTCCCAGAAGCTAGGTGCGTCTTATACCTCATGGCGTCTTATACTCCGAAAAATACGGTATGTTTTCTTGCAGACATTTCATTACCCAGCTAAGTAACATCACCAGTGCCAGTCCCTGCAGACCCTTACCTTATGACTTGATTGTTGTGGTTGGGCTCGGGACAAAAGAGGGTACAAGACTTCTTCACCCCTTCCAGAAAGCCGTGGGCCGTCTCTTTCTTCAGGTCGTTGAGCCGTTGGGTCTCGTGGCTTTTCTGCTTCATGAACCACTGGTGGGATTCGTAACACTTCGGGCACAGGAATTCCTCGCACTCCTCGCACCAAAACTCCGCCGCTTCTTTGCAGAGATTGCAAAGCAGCTCTTGATTGCTGACGATCTTCTGGTAGGTGTTCAGCTTGGCCTGAAGTTTGGAGAAAAGCAAGTTATCCTGAAGGGGAAATCTGTCCGAGGCCTGGGCGGAGCTGCCACATACCGGGCACTGCCCGATGGGCTTATTTTCCTCAAGGCATTCGAGGCAGAGGGTATGCAGGCAGTCTAGGAGTTTGGGGTTCTTAGCTTCTCTCTTGCATCTCTCGCACAACAGGAACTGGAAGTCTCCCTCCATCGCTGGAGAAAAAGAACAGAAGACAAGTGTCATCCCTGCAAGCCATCTTTCCTTGTTGGACTTCAGGCCTGCCACACTTTCTACTGTGGGGAAATGGGAGGCAGGGGATTATATGGAGTTGGGTGACATGTAGCCATAACAACATTCTTCTTAGAAAGCCAAGGTCATCTTTGTCTCTGCACCTGGCCGGAACTGGATGGGAGGAATCTGTCTTCGTGGCAGTGGGAGATTGGACCATGTGATGGACTTGTGGGTGTTGGGGGGGGGGCAGGATCTTGAACTTTCAACTGGGTGGGGAGACCTGGAAGCTTTCAGATTCGGGTTTTCCCAGAGGTGCCAACATGACACATCTCTAATAAATTGGAACTTTGAGGAAACACAACTCTTCGGGCATCCCAGGGGAACGCTGGGAGTTTTAATTTAATATATCTGGAAGGCATATTATTAAAGGCAATCATCACCTTTATTGGGAAGTATCAACCCAACCTTTTTAGTCCCCGCCATAGCCTAGTCCCACCACTGGGGGGAATCTAATAAACCCGAGACTCAATACGAATCCCCGCCCTTTCTGGAGTCGCCCCAAACCCAACTTGGGTCTCTTCAGCACGTCGGAACGAGGTCGACGCGGGGAAGAAACCCTGGCTCGATAGCCTGGAGCCGCTTCCCAGTTCCAGAAGGCTTGGCAAACTGATCCCCTCCCCCCAATGCGGAGAACAAGACCCCCCGCCTTCCGTCCCTCCCTCCCTCCGAGACCCCCGGAGGAGAAAACGCACCCCAGGCTCAACGCACCCAATGCGTCCCTGGATACCGGCGGCAGGAGGGAACAAAGCGGGCTCGGCTGGGTAGGTGGCGGCGTCTGCCTTCCCCTCCTTGGAAGCGCGGAGAGGCCGCAGCTGCAGCCGCTGGACAAAAGAGGGTGGGAAATCTCGCTGCTCCGGTTCTTCTCCGGGCGGCAGGCGGAGAACTGAAAGTTTCGTTTTCTCCCCGCCAGCAGGAGAGTCGAAAGCCAACAGGAAGTGGCAGCCTTGGTTTGCAAGTGGGAGGAGAGTCAGCTAGCATATCCAGGGCGGGGGGGGGGGGGGGGGGGGGAAGAGGGGGGGGGGGGGGGGGGGGGGGGGTGGGGGGGGGGGGGGGGGGGGGGGGGGCGAGAGGGGGGGGGGGGGGGGGGGGGGGGGTGTGGAGAGAAAGGGGCAGAGAGAGAGGAGAGGAG